TCTACAAGTCGTCCACTTACTTTCGTTTCTAGATTCGACGCCAAACAGTGAGAAAAAATCGCGCGAAAACGAAAACTACGAAGAAGGAAAAGAAGTGAGAGAGAAAGAGAGGGAAGAAAAAAAGAAGAAGAATTACAGAAATAGTAAAATGTCAACAAGTGGCTGGACAAAACGAATCGTCGATGATTATCGCCGGCGGGGATTTTACCGTACGCCAGCCACGTTCCTACCGATCGTTTAATTTCTCGGAAAAACGCATTCACCCCATTCTTTCGCGGCGTGCCGGCCTTCGGATTATGCGACGTCTACAGCCGAGAGAGAACGCTCGTCCGATGGATTCGAAACGGTGACCCTGGCTCACTGACCCTTTTTAACCGGGAGGGGAACCTTCGCTTCGCCTCGTAAACAGTGCTCTGGACAGAGACTCGATGTCGCAATCGCGACGGTGACTCGGTGATGGCCGATCGGCTGCAGCATCCTTCGCTTGCCGGTCCGCGGTTTTTCCTTTTCTGATCCCTGAAATCTCAGTGAGAGAAATCGAATCAAATCGACTCCTAGAACGACCGAAGTACGGAACTTGCAGTGTCAACGCGATTGTAAAATGGCTGGCATTTTTCGTCTTTGCAATGAAATGGAGCTCGCAATGTTTCAAATAGAGTGGGATCGAGAAAGATATCGGCATACTTGGCTTTTTGACGATGAATCTTCATGAAGACAAATAGATACAAAAGTGATGCGCATAGTAGTTATTTCGAATAATAATGAGTTATGTAATCAGTGGTGCTGCGAAATTACGGCACCCCCAATTTTTTCTCGATATATAAATATATTTATTTATATTCGCTGGTTATATTTAATTTTATCACCAACAATATATCTATATTCATCTATCTATATTTACAGTTCTCCTATTTTGTAATATAAAAATAATGGTGATAAAATATTTAATTTTATCGCCAACAATATATCTATATTAATCAGTTTATATTTACAGTTCTCCTATTTTGTAATAAAAAAATAATGAAATATAAAAATAATGGTGAAAGAATATTGAATTTTATCGTCCACAATATATCTATATTAATCAGTCTATATTTACAGTTCTCCTATTTTGTAATAAAAAAATAATGAAATATAAAAATAATGGTGAAAGAATATTGAATTTTATCATCAATAATATATCTATATTCATCTATCTATATTCACAGTTCTCCTATTTTGTAATAAAAATATAGTGAAATATAAAAATAATGGTGATAAAATATTTAATTTTATCACCAACAATATATCTATATTCATCTATCTGTATTCACAGTTCTCCTATTTTGTAATAAAAAAATAATGAAAATCCACTGGATATATTTATAGATTTTTATTCAAGCCACAAGAAATATTCAAATTCGAGAATCAAAGAAATATCGACACACATTTAATGGTGGTATGTTGTGTTAGAAAAATTACAAAATATCCTTTTGCAAATGCTGGAATGTTGGAAAGCTATAATAAAAGAAAACCCTTGTATATCAACAACCCTTGTAAGTGCTGGAATGTTGGAAAGCTATAATAAAAGAAAATCCTTGTATATCAACAGCTTTTTGATCCTCGAATTTTTATAAATTTCTTTTATCATTATTGTACGAATCATTGTTAATTGACTGTGTTGGCATTACTTATGGAAACATATAGTTCTGTTAATGTATCATTTGTTTTCATAAAAAATGTAAAAAGATATTTTGTTTTATTTCGATCCTTTTAAGATACAAAGTTTTTTTCATACATTGCAAATGAGCATTGAAAATGTCATTGAAAATGAAGCTCCTGTTATTTAATATTCTCCGAAGTTCCTTTTTCACTTTCACTTCATGAAAGATATGAATTCGCGAAAGTTATTAAATTCTTATAAACTGAAGTGCTAAAGAAATACTATTAAGAAACTCGCATTTCAAAATACCTAATTCCATTTACAAGAGATTATGCTTTCTACAATGAATTGAAAGTCCTTCCTCGTTCATTTTCAATTTCACTGCGTCGACGAGCTACCTCTGAATGTGATTGATTCAACCGGCACGTGTAATTGAAATTCCATCGGGATAACGACACTAACTCACGGATGACAATCGATTCTCGAAAGTAACAGGAAAATGAGAATCCTTTCAACGTTTATCAGGGAATCTATCGAGGCACGATCGGCTGGACCAACAATGAATGCGCAGTTGTATGCAAATGTTTTTCAACCAGCCATTGAATCAGACGGCTGATCAAAGGATAGTTCGTCATTTTTAATTCCGTATATGTGCAATAATTGCCATCATGCTCCAGGGAACCGTCGCTGTCGACTAACGCAAGAATTTTAAACAGATCTTGTCCCTTCGTCACGAGCTGACGCCATTTTCCTCTGCGACAAAGGTGTCCTTCCTTCTTCTGTGTAAAAAATTCAGACGAATCTTTAATTTAATTGCAGTTGATAGCTTAGCTAATTTTTCTTAACACAACGATTGAAGATGGATGAGATTAGATATATAATTATCTAAAAAAAATAAGAGTGGCATTCGCATGAATCTTACACGCAGTTGAACAGGAAATTCAGTCTACCGCAAATTTGGAAAAAAAAGAAAAAAAGAAAAAAATGTACAGGAACGGAGAATTAATTATTGAACGAACACTATATTTTTGAATAGTTTGCCTGTTACGTCTGGAACATAAAAAAATCTAGAATAAAAGACTACCGAGTCTACTAGTAACTGTTCAGCGTTCGCTTAATTATGATTTCTTAGAAATTACTTTGCTACGGGAAGTGTGCAACCCTGCGGCTATACAGATAGATGTTAATTACACGAGGAAAGAAAATCCACGCGAAACTACGCATAAAACCCTCGCTTAAATGCCTTTTCATTAATCATCAATCGCCAACGATTTCGAAAACAATTTCTCATACGATTTAATTGTCTTCCTGGCTGGATGTTAGCTCGTTCGTTACTCAAACAGCATGACTCGAGCTATCGATCGGGATTTTCTTAGCGATGCTACTTTATTTTAATACTTGGAATTTAGATTAGACGCAATAATAACAGTGGAAAACACTGGGAACGATCGGTGTGGGTGGTTCTCGTGTGACCGTTTTCTTCTGTTTCCACGTTTTGTCCTTCGACTTCCCTAGTTTCTCATCGTTGCTACGATCTTTTTATGCGAATCATGTTATCGAGACTATAATTAAGAAAGTGGAACTTTCAGCAAGGAATTGCTTTAAACTCTAGACATTTTATAAAAGACACTGTATTTTGAATGTTTCAGAGATTTTATATGCATTCTGCGAAAATTCGCATTCTAAAAGTTTCCTTTAAGCTTGTCTTTTTTTTACTTTTGTGTAACATTATTTCATTTTATTTATTATTATTATTCATTTCTCATTAATTAGGAATTGAACCGTGAACTTTTGCGAATTAAAAACGCGTGAATACAAGTACGTGTATATAAATAAAATCAAAATATGGTATTCGTTTGAAATATGTATCAAATAAAATAATTTACACTCTCGTGTAAAAGTTTGGAAAATCTACCCCTTTCAGATGAGCTAAATTTCTTTATTTCTTCATTTTATTTTTCTACGAAATATGAATGTTATACTACAATTTGTTATGTTATAATTACAATTGAATATTATATTTATTTATTCGGGGAAATTATTATTTCTTTCGAAATCCTCGTGTGTTCTAAACTTTTGAGAATGTTGTAATTTAGTTGAATTATATCTCCATAAAAATCCAGTCTCTTATAGAATATTAGAATATTAGAAATATTATATTAGAAATATTAGAATATTATAAAGAATTCTAATATTAGAAATATTAGAAATCCAGTCTCTTATAGAAAGCTCAGAAATTGAAATTTTTATCCCCATTTTTCCAATCTCCAATTGTTAACACATTCGACGTTTCGATTGATTTGTCAATTCCTCACGGCCTTTAGAAATAAATTTCTCCTTCTCTTACATTTTTTTATATATAGACTAACATTATAAATTCACATCGTCACGATTTTAGTATCGATTCAATGTCAATGATTTATGAGAAATTATGAGAAATTATTTTTACCTGCTTTTCAAGTACGAAAATTTAAATGCAGTTCCCATTCGTTCTAATCTGTTTTTTTTTTTT